CCATGACCTGGAAAGAACTTTTAAGTGGGGTGTCCAGAGAAGTGCCGTTTCCAGAGAACGCTAAAGGAGACGCACACAGTGTCCAGCTGTATTATGACCATCGCCTTTTGTGTTTTTGTGAATTTTGTGAGCTCGCAGGAAGGGCATTTCACCGCCAGCAACGACTGCTGCACGCCGTATTGTTGTGCGTTTGATAGATCAACTTTGATTTGATTTGATTTGACCACGAATGGGGGTTTTAAGAGTCTACTTATGGTCCCCTGGTGATGTTATCCCACCTTTCAGCTTTTTCGGAGGGGTCAGGTACAACAGGGCCTGTTTAAAATTCCCTCAAGCCGGGTCGGGCTCAATACCCACCCGCCCCCACCCCCCAGGCCGGAGGCAGATTTCTGCTCTAGCAGCGCGGGGGTGTCGCCCTGTGCTGTATTGTGTCTGTGAACCTGTGTGCATTACTCCCAGACTTTTTTGCGTCTGGGTGATTTTTGAGCCAAGCCAGTTCCCAGCATCCCGCGGGGCCGGGTTGGCGTGACGGCGGGCCCTGGTTTTGTGACCACTCTCTCTCTCTGCCCCCCCCCCAGGCGCTGCCCCCTAGCGTGGCGGTGGCGGGGGGCTACTGCGCGCTGGTGGCGGCCTTCTTCACAGCCGTGAAGGCGGTGAACTTCCGGCTGCACGCCATGTTCGACGAGGGCGAGATCGTGGAGAAGAGGCAGGCCTCCCTGACCCCGGAGAGGGCGGAGGAGGGCGACGGGGGCGCCGGCGCACCCGAGGGGAGCAGACCCAGGTGAGTCCTGGCGGGGGTGTTCTCAAGGGTGCCACAGGGGGGCGCCACAGGGTAGCAAACCCCCCCCCCCCCACCCGGTGACCGTGAGGAGGTTTTCCGAAGCCCAGCTCCTCTCTCACATGTGATCAATAAGAATAATGATAGTGATTCTAAACTTTTATATAGCCAGGATTAGGTCTGGGCGATATGGCCAAAAACATGATCACGATAAAAATGTTCATATCAGTCGATATCGATAATGAGCCCGATAAATGTCAAATCATTATTTCTTTCAAGTTTTTCAAGGCAGGTTTTTT